GCGGTTCTATATCTTCCTTCCACATCAATCAATCAATCACGGTGTACAGTAGTTTCTTTGCTATGTTGATGTACAAGTTATGTTGTTTTTTTCATGTATTGTTTTTAATTAACTGTAGATAGCTTTTCACCGGTATACTATAACCATCACCCAAAAGCATGCACCCATGAAGGTCCCGACAATTTCGGAGCCATCATCTCATTGACAATTTTATCTCTGAATTTTGTTGCCATATTTTATGTACCTGGATTCGGAACGCTTTGTTAACACTTTCCCAAAGTGAGTATTATAACTTGCGGCAGATTTGAAAGAGGAGATTAGAGGTATTCAATCTTTGAGGGATTCGAGGAATCAATGGGAAGTTCTGTTGAGAAGCTAAGAGTGTGAAAGAAGAATTGAGATTCATTACCACCAGTCATCAGGCTGACATGCACAGTTTGCCAGAATCTCATGGCACAGGTAATGGCAAGAAACGAGAATGGTATGTTTGGGGAAAATCGACGGCTGCAATTTCTTGTGGGAAGCAGATCAAGGCTGTGCGCAAGATATATAAGGAAGCGTTGTCTACACCAGATATGGATATTTTCGATAATCTTACACAATGACATCAGAACATGAAGAAAAAAAAGAGGCGTGATGACACCAGATACGTGAAGATCATGAATAGTTGATTATATATTACTCATATGTACTCGATGAGTGATGCGAAAATGAATGTAAGGGTACAAAAGCGGAACTGAGCTGCAAGAAAGATAAACCCAATTGAGAATACATAAAAAAGATATAATGTTCATGAAGTCGTTGGGGCGAGGGGGGGGGGAAGAAAATAATTATGATGAAAGATAAAAATACATCATGGAGGGGAGAAGAGAAGAAACATGACATTTGGGAGAAAAATAAATAAATACGAGACGGTTCGTGATACATAGATGGATACGGAGCGGATCATCTCTTTGCGTAGCGTAGAGTCAACGTCTTGGCGGCGGTGACCATGACGAAGAAGTTGAAGAGGACGAAGAGGGCCAGGATGCCCAAGTCTCTCCATCGATTGGAGAAGGAGAGATTCAAGCCTTCATAGACTGTTGTACACACGGAACAAAAAAAAATCAGGAATCTAGTCAAGAAGCCGAAGAAAGAGGCTTGAAGGAAGACTTACATTGGTCGCCCTTGGAGAATTGACAGTACCTGCAATCGGTGCTCGCGTCTGAGTTTTCGAGATAGCCCCCTCGAGTGGAGATGAAGTTCTGAGCCCATTGTCCGCATGTCTGTCCGGTGGGAGGTTGGAAGACAGAGCTGTAATGGAAGAACAAGTTTAGTTATATCAATCAATGACAGACTGCCCTTTTGAAATTACGTACAGTTCTTGCTCCTTGCAAATCACAGGCATGTCATGAAGCTCATTCACCAGTAAACCTGAAATGATTCGTGTATACGGGTCGAGCTGGTACATCCCTGCAACGAAAGAGTTGCAAATTAGCTACATGAAGGTCTGGGTTATTGGGAACAGAGATCACGAACAGTCTTTCCAAAACCGGGGCATCTGGGCCTGTGGGACAGTCACACCACAGAACAGGTTCAACATGACAGAGAGAGGCGAGTTGACTTGGGAGGCGAAGAAGATCGAGGGCGAGAGGGCTGCGATGGCTTGTCCAAGCGTGACAGCAAACATTTCAACCATCCAGATCACTGTAACACAAGAATTGAATGATTAGCCGCGGAAAAAAAGGGAGGTGGTCGAATGTGCGATGAAAGACTTACTCAGGAAGGCATAACCAGCTCGGTCAGATGAGGTGTTGAAGCCAGCGATGAAGTACCAAAGGATAAAATATGCAGTGGCACAGAGCAGCGAGTAGGGAACTTCGGCGAGGAACTGGGCTAGCGCAAACACTTGTTCGCTGTAGGTTTTCGAGGAAGCTTCCCGCAAGAAGATCATTCTTGCCATGATGAACGAGGGCTCGACTTGGGCGATGATCTGTTTCATTTTTTGCATAAAACGGGTCAGAACGAGCTGACTTGATTGCAGAAGAAGAAGAAGTAGCTAGCACTCACGAGAATCGGCAGGACTCCAGCAATGAAAATACTGAAGATTCGGTACTGCAGATCGGCGACCCCGTTGCCAACTTGAAAGAAGGTCAAACCAACGAGAAGACTGATGGTGATGTGGTTGAAGAGCCTTGTGAATTGGTAGTCGGCGTTCCGATAACATGCCAAGCTTGATCGAGCTAAGACGGTCTTCAACTGGAAGCCAAAAGTTTGGGCATCTGTAAAGTTGGAAAAATGTGGGTCAGTATCCCACTGACAAGGGGAGTGAAGGGACAATGAATTGGCAGGACAAACATTGGGTGGCTGCAGGTCCTGACTGGTTGGCTTCATCGTGGGCACTGGAATCCTTGTTCAACAGTTGGATTTCGCGTTTGTTTTCTTGGTGTTCTTCACTTTCGAGCCATCGATCAGCCCAATCCTTGTCACCGCCCATTTGTCGCGTGCTACCGCCACCGATCGCTTCGAGCATGAATTCGGCAGGGTTTGCTTCGACGGGACAGACGGCGCCGTTGCGCGCAAAGTAATCTCGGATGATGTGTGAGTCTTTGCCGATGTCGCCGAAGTATACACATCGACCGCCTTTCTTGAGGAGCAAAAGTCGGTCAAAGTTTTCGAATAAAAGCGCATTAGGTTGATGGATCGTGCATAGGATTGCTTGGCCAGCGGAGGCTAGCTTCCTCAGGAATCGTACGACGTTGTAAGCGCTCTGTCCGTCCAGACCAGAAGTAGGCTCATCAAGGAATAGGAGTAATTGGGGTTTGGCCGAAAGTTCAACTCCAATAGTAACACGTTTGCGGGCTTCCACACCTAATCCGAATCCTGGGAAACCAATCATTGCATCGGCTAAATCTTCCAATTCTAAAAGCTGGATGACTTCCTCGACGTAGGCGTTTTTCTCTTCGATCGATACGGTAGGGGGCTGTCTCAGGTAGGCCGAAAATCTGAAGGCTTCTCGTACAGTGGCAGTCCATTCGTGGACATCTTGCTGCTCGCAATAAGCTGTCCCTCGTTGGAAGTCGGCACCGGGGGCACGTCCAGACACTTTGACATCGCCTCCGATGACTCCCGTAGTCTTCCGGTTGGCCAGGACATCAAGAAGCGTAGTCTTTCCAGCTCCTGAAGAGCCCATCAAAGCTGTGAGGGTTCCGGGCTTCACATATCCATAAATATCGTTGAGCAAGCGACGTTGACCGCCAGCAACTGGGACATCGTACGTCAAACCCTCCCAGGTAAATGGCTTCCGGGCTGAGATCAAACCACTGAGATTTTGCTCCACAGTGCCTTTTCGGAATTCTTCCTTTTGAGCTTGTAATGCGGCATTGAGTTTCTTCCGTTCAGCGTTCTCCTTGGCAAACACGTTGATCGCAGGCATTCCTGAGCCCAATGCAAGGTTTTCGACCGCCAAAAACAAACATGTCATAAAAAGTACGATGTAGGCACACTAAAAAAAACCAAACCCAAATTAGCCTTGGATATTATCAACAATCCGCATGACTGTGAAACTCACTTCAATCCCAAAGTTTCTCCAAACAGTGTTGGTCTGATAGTTGAATGATGCAGCGATGTAATCAGCCCCGGAGACAATGGGATTCCCGGGTTTGGAGCCTCTGAGAGTGCAGATTTGATTAGGGCCTAGAGTGGTTGGGTAGCCGGGACCATTGGGAAGGATAAAGCCTCCTTCACACAGGATATCTAGTCTTTTGAACTCGTTTGCCATCAAGGCCGAGAAAGCGTAGTTGACAGGGTTGATGTGATATATCCAGACTAGCCATCGCTTCATCGCTGGTTCAGGAATCATATAGCCACTGTACAGGACCATGGACATCACCAGTGCACTAGCCATCCTCGCTGCAGTATCGAAGCTGAATGAAATCGAACCGAGAAACCTGAAGAATGAACTGAGAGCCAGGAAGGTGAAGTAGACTATGATAAAGTATGTGAAAAATGCTCCAGCGTCGCGAGTCAATCCTGCCATCATGTAAAGCTAACCAGAGATGACCTTATCAGCATGTCGTCGCAAGGGTAGAGCTAGAGTGAATAGACTTACAATGAGTGAGAACAGGAAGATCTTGGGCGCAGAAAAGGGTATGTCCGAAATTGAGTTGGCTATTGCCAGAGCGCCGGGTCGGTAGAAACAGAACGCAGTTTGTCTCCACATGATAGGACGTCCTAGCATTTGGCCAGGAAGCTGCGTGAAGGCTTTTTTTTCAATATCATGATCAGTAAGATCAGAGAGTGTAAATTTATGTTGAAATGAAAAGGCCTCACAGATAAACACGTTGAATAACAATCCGATAAAGATAACACCACCCCTAAAGAATGCAAAAAACACACGCGAGAATCAGTATATATATAAGAGACAGAAGGTAGGGAGGTAAGAAAGACCAACCTGGTAAAGGCGCCGGCGGCAGTTTTGGGAATGTTGAGGTAAATACTTCCAATGATTATGGAGATCGTGATGGCAGTAGCCCAGCTGAAAGCCAGGCCCATACGATCTTGCAACTGCAATTGCAAGTCTCGAATGACGAGAGCTTTCAATTGACTGAAGATGGAGACTGTGAGAGGGGACTGTGATTGCAAACAAAAGTCAGACAAGTGCGTGACTAAGATATGAATCGTGCCTAATGGGCCGGGACTAACCTTGCTTGGGACTGCGCTGCTTCGATCATTCTTGACAGCTTGAAGAAAGTTTTCGCGGTCTCGGTTTTCGGCCGCGAGGTAAACACGATAGTCCTCCATCTCTGCGCGCACCTTCTTGCAAATGCTGCTGTCCAGGTAGGCTTGCTCCATCTCTTCGGCCGTCTGGGGCACGGTACTTGGGTCGACGTCATCGGCAAACTGGCGCTCATTGGAGTCGGTGCAGCCTGTAAGGAAATCCGCAGTGGTTTGTCGGGGCATGTTTTTGTAGCCCAGGTCGATGAAGTATTGTCGGGCTTCAGAGGCAGGGCCGAAGTAGACTTGACGGCCTTCATTGATCAAACAGACTTTGTCAAATTGCTCGTAAATGCCTTCTCCGGCTTGGTATAGCGTCACAAACATCGTCGTCCTGAAGATGTTGGTCAAAATTCTCAGGGACTTCGCGTATTGAAGGGCAGTCGAAGCATCGAGACCTCTTGTCGAGTTGTCCCAAGCTAGGACAGAAGCTCTGGTGGCCATCATCTCTGCGATCGAGACTCGCTTCCGTTCGCCGCCTGAAACCCCACGGATCTGAGCGTTACCGACAACTTTTAAAGAGAAAGGAAAACATCAGTCAAGCAAAACAGGTTAGATTTGTCAAGGTTCGCCGGCTTACGCGTATTCTTGGTATGGCTGATTCCAAGCATGCGTAGAAGAAGGTCTAGGACCTGCTGTTGGAAATCTGATTTGGTCTGTTGTGGCAGACGGGTAGCGGGTACCTTAGTGGACAGCGCGAACTTCAAAGTTTGAGCGACTGTTAAGGTGGCATGATGAACATCATCCTATTCAACAAAACAGTACTGCATTAGTTATCATGGTGAAAACAAATACAAAAGTAAAATCAACAAACCTCTGGGTTATAGACCACTCTGGATAAAAGAAGAGAAAAAGATTACGCCAACGTCAGTGGACAATCTTGGGGTGCTATAGAAGTTGAATTTTACTCACTCTCCCTGGTAAGTCTTTCCCATTGTTTGGGCATCAATCCCACCATACTCGACTTGACCGCCAACATCCATGAACCCAATGCGCCGATTGGCAATGACTTTCAAGAAGGTAGAACAGCCGGCATTGGGACGACCCAGAACAAAGCACATCTCACCAGGTTTGACGAATCCGTTGAAGTTCTGGAGGAGCAGCTTGGGGGGTCGGGAGACGAAGTTTTTCATGTAGAAGATAAGGGGAAATAACAGATATTCCTTGATGGCATCGGGGAAAGTTCGGATGTGCAGTCGCAAACCGCCCATACCACTAACTGATAGATTGGAGAAAATGACGCCCAAACATTTGAGTTGGAAACCATGCTCGTCACGCGTCTGTGACTTGCCCCTCTACAATAAACATAGCAAGCACAAGAGTCAGTGCGTGTTGTGAGCCAGATAACTTTGGACGGAATCCAGACGGACCAAGTATGCCAGAAGGTCAAATTCGTCGTCCCCACTCTGCTTCTCCTTATCGGCATGGAGTCCGGCGGACGAGCTGAAAGAAAATCAAATAGAAGGAGGAGCGGATTTTCGTAAGTGATTGAGCAGCAGAAATATAGGAAATCTTAGTGGAAGCTCACGCTTTGGAAAGTTGTCGACTCAGGGCAGCAAATTCGCGCTCGGCGCGTACCACGTCTACCGAGTCTTCAGTGGGGATTGAGGCTTCAATAGTCGAATCAGAGTCGACCAGGCCAGAATGCTTCTCGATGACCTCGTCGATTTTTTCATCCTTGGTGTTGTCATTGAAAGACTCTGCGCGGGTGAGGTTGGAATCCCGGCGCGAGGCAGCGGAGTCTGTGAGCGGTAGGATGGTGATGTCGGTGTCAAGAAAGTCACTGAGC